CCACCGTGGGCTTTTCTGTGCATGCGCAGGAGACGGACATACCTGAGCTCTCCGGGGGCAAGAGCTGTCAATCAATCAAGAGACTGCCTCTAAGCAAAGGTATAAGACAGAAAACCAAGAAAGACTGGGATGGCCATCCTTTTCTGGATCAGCTCACCTTCTGCTCTGGGAGGTATTTTCGTTTTGCCAATAAAATCTTTAAAATCTTAACTACACGATGCTTTTGTCTCCCATCTGCATTCTTCTCTTTCGGGCAAGACAAGAACCAAAGCCTTCCTGTCTTAGGGTAACACTGGCAGTTGTGAACATGCCCTCCAGTGTGACTGCATCATGCTGCCCGTCAGAGCAAAGCCCCCGCAGGAGCCAGAAGTGGCAGAGAAAAACATAAGCAGGTCTGCTTTCCCCAAAGTATCTTTTCCCATACTCCTCCCCAACTACAAGGAAAAATATAACTATATATATATGTATGTATGTATATGGGGTTTTTTTGCTAAAGAACACAGAAACACCTTCTTTGTTTAGGTTGGTTTGTTTAGAACCAACAAAATGGGAGGCCTTCAGAAAAATTCTTTATATTCCTAATCTATTTATGAATATTTTTGTGTACATCTGCTTGCATACGTATATGTGCTCCATTCCCTAAGATGTGATAATGGACAACAACTAAGTAGCATTTATGTGAGTGTCAGTGCAAGTTCCCTACCTGATGTGCTGGGTTCAGTGCTGGCAGTGGCGTTCATAAAGGTGGACAAAGTCTTCCGTGAGAGAATTAGCAGTATACAGAAGTCATGGAATCTGTGCGCAGTTTATGATAATAAGAGAATGTGATCACCACCATATGGAAAGAAAACGTGATATTTTAAGAGTCCATCACTAACTGCAATTAAAAACAAGGCCTCAGGCCCCAAATGGAGTTACTTATGCTAAGCCTCATGTCCCAACTGAGCCTTCATTACAGTTTCAGCTCCCCTAGAAATGGAACCTCAGATCAGTCAGTCAGGAATGGCTTGATCAGCACTAGTCAATTTGCCTGGTCGATCCCTGCCATCCCCTAAAGATAGTAACCTTGCAATTACCAATCTGCTTTTTTCCTAATATATCTTCCTTTTTCTTTCTCCTTTCTGCCTGTAAAATTCTCTCAGTCTGTACAGCCCCTTGGAGCTCCTTTCTATTTGTTAGTTTGGATGGAATTTTTTTTAAGCAGTTCTGTGGTCAGAAGTTGACCAAATTGGAAGCTGATATTCAGAGCTTGATAGGGACTTTTTTAGGCCTTCTCCTGTATGCTAAAATGAAGCTATGTACCTGGGGTGGGGGTGGGGGCGACTCTGAGGCCTTTGTGGAAGGATTTACTAACACATGCCATAGACACACAGCTCTATGTCTAGAACATAGGACTCTTCTGATTTGCATCTTAGTTGAAGACCATCTTCCTGATGTAAGAAGGGAATTGAGGATGGTGTAGTTGGATGGATGGGACACCACCCACATCATTCAGGTTGCCACTAGATTCTTTGAGGAACTAAAGACAACCCAACTTGTCTTACAAATCAAGCCTTTGTAAGAACAGAAGTGTATTTCTAGAAATAATCTGAAGCCCATTTATCCTTTTTACCAATCCCCATATGTCTCCTTTTCCTCTCAAAAGGCTTGCAGATATTGGAAAAACCTGAACTCAGGGAACAAAAGTCCTTCTTGGTGGAACATGCATTCATTTATTGTGCTTTTGAGATGTAAATATTCTATGTGGTCTTCTCTAGAAAGCAAAGTAATTCTTATCAGAAGGATAAAAAAAAGGCTATTTTGAAAATTAGGCCTATGAAAACTCTTAAAAGTCTGTTTTATAAATATTAATAAAAAGCTCTCTAAGCAGGGAACCTTAATTTATTCCATATGCCAGAAACACAGTGGACCCAACTGTTCTTATATAAACTAGTGAGTTTTGTATTATCACATCTGTTTCAATGGTTCAGATTCTTAAATGAAAGCTATAACATCTCAATCTGCCTTTGTCGGTACGTTTTTGTTCGTCTAAGGTATGCTATGGATAGTGATTCTTTGTGTACCTCTGAATGATGCTTCCAAAATTATTTTTAAAGGCTCTAATTGGCTTAAAGATGAACAAGCATTATATAAATCAAATATACTGTCAGAGACATAAGAAGTAACCCAAGTTGTTTTCAAATTTCACGTGACCTAGGATAATCTTTGGTAAATAAAAGACAGTTTAGCAGGAGAGCTGAGTGGTACTACAGAAACAATAAAAAGTTCTTTCACTTTAACCTGGTTCTATGCCCAAACTTCTAACCAAGAAATAATTCAGCTGTAAGAACCAATTAAATTGCTATAAAACATTCCTTCATCTGTAAAACATTTCTTTTTTGTATTTGTTCGTTTGCCAATTAAACATTGTCACTTGACATCTGGCACTACAAGAATGAAGTCTCTAGCTGCTGCAATCACTGACCTTCAACATACCCCGAGAAAAGTTCAGGGTTGGAGGTCAGGAATGAGGCAGTCTGTGCTCTGGGACGATCTGGCAGAACAGGCCTTCAGATAGTTAAGAGATTTTCAGGAGAAAATTTTACGAGCCCAGTTTCTTTCATCTACTCATATCTCAAAAAGCACTGAAATCCTGAATGGAGACATGTGTTCCTTGTGACTAGCAGCAATCCTTTGCCAAAATGTGTGCTTGACATCACGTATCCGCCTTCACCAAAATCACATGTATTCTGACCTCCTCCCCACCTCTTCAGAGCAGTTCATCAGAGCTACCTGAGAAGCTGTCTCTCAGGTTATAGTCCTCATTTTGCTCCAAATAAAACATCTCACAACTCTCACGTTGTGCGGTTTTTGCCTGTTGACAGTTTGGATGACCAGTGAACGGACTCCAAGCAGAATTCTCCTTTGCCTGAACTCTGCTAGGAACTGGAACTTGGTACCAGCTAGACCATGCACCTAATCAGAGAGTCCAGACAAATGTGGGTGAGTTTCTCCTGGTTCTCTTATCTCCCATATTGGCTGATGATCCTGGGTTTTATGGGTGGTATATAACAGGTACCTGGTCCCCCAGCTGAAAGATGCTGGGGGGAGCCCACCCAGTTGAAAGAAACCGGGGTTTGCTCAATTGCAATGCATCAAGGAGCCTTGGTTGAGTGGTTAGGTCACCTTTCCTCAACCCTGCAGCCTTACTAGATTTATTGGGATAGAACCGAAGATATTCCATGAAAGCTTTGCTCCTAAGAAGAGTGATTAGACCCCTGCCAGTCACTTGTGGCTTTCTCAGGCAACTGAGAAATTTATGGGAGTGATGGAAGCAGAGTCCTCCTACCATGCAGTGGACCCATAGGGGAAACCCACTCTTTAATGAAAAGATTTGCTTCTCCAGGGACCACAAATAAGAATTGGCCATTCAGTGGTCTGAGCATCCATGGTCAGCTTAGACCACCAAAGGGAGAAACTGAGACGTGTTAGAGGGGCTGAGATGACTCTAGGGTGATGTTTAGAGGAGTTAAGCTCACAAGCCAGCACACTGGCCCAACACTCAATTTTATTAGTAAATTTTATCTCCAACAAATTAAACTTTAAAATGGGAAATAGACCCTCTCAAACAGAGAAATGAATGGCGTCAGAAAGACAGCCTCTGCCTAACATCCCTGCCAGGTTTATATACATACAGAACTTATAAGTACCTGCTTAATTGGGAATTAAAGGAAAATTTTGGCCTGAAAATGGACAATACAGGCTCCTTTACTGCGTACACAGTTGTTAGAGAAAACTAGCTTGATATGGCATCTTTCCAGAATTCTGACTCTGAGGGAAAAGTTCCTTCTAAGAGAACTTCTTTTTCTCACCCTGTGCCTAGAGATGTAAATGTTCTTACCAGGATTCTCAGAAACACTTATCTTTTCTAGACCATCTGTAATTTCTGAGACTGAGGGGAAAAAAGGAGAGAAAGAGGCCTTTTTAAATTCACCTTATTGGAATTGCTACTTATAAACTAGTGAACTTTATATTGTAATATCTGACTGGAGAATGAAGCTATGAGGACTCTGGTTGTGTCTGTCCATACGCCTATGTGCATGTCATTATCCAAATTGATTTGTAAATTAGCTGTATTTAATTGGAAATTAAGGAAAGGAAATTAAGCACTTATATAAATTCCCAAAAGACTGAACTTTGAGAACAAATAAACGTTTAGATTTTTTTTTTAAGTTACAAGTGTTTGTCTCTCAGTTATTTTTTGCTTAATTTTATTACTTAAAAAAACTTGTTTTTCTTCCCCATTCTGATTCAGTACCTTTGGAAGACTTGTATGGATTACCCAGAAGTCTACACATTAGAAAGGTACTATTGATGCACCTGGGGGAGGGCAGACGGGCAGGAGGCAAAGCTGGACAAGAAGAGAAGAGCGTCTCATCTGCAGAACAGGATCCTGGAAGTTAAGAAAAGCTGGTTCCCCTGGGAACAGGTATGTCGGTCGGTCGGGGAACAGCAGCACGTCAAACCCACTTTCTTCTGTCTATTTTACCTAATTTCCCTCTATTGGCTCATAAACTGAGAAAAGGCCCACAGGAACCAAGCAGGACAGAAATGATACTTAGAGCTCAGTGAAGGACTTAACAACAACTTTTGTTCAATGTCAAACTGCTTAGAAGGGGCTGGTTCTGTTTCTAAGTGGTCGTGGATTCTGCTTACCAGTGATTCTGGTGCTTCATTTTCCCAGGGAAAGTGACTTCTATTCTTCATTAGGAGCCTATATTCCAGGCTGGGTAATTGAATAATCACTGGATTGCAGACAGCATCCAAGCAGGAGATCTCCCTCCACCACACTGCTTGCCTCATGTGCCCACTCCAGCTCCTTCAAGCTCTTGTAAACAGCATTCATTTTCCATTACAAGCTAGGAAATGTGGCTGTGCAGCAATGGTGCTGGGTCACTGGAGAGGGCCTGCCAGGGAGCCTGCTTCCTCACATCTCATTTTAGTTTGTAACTTGCTGGCGAGGTTGGGTCATCACTAAAGCTCCATGTCTTCCCATCCCTAACTTATGAAACAGCCAGCGACCCGCTGGAGGACTAGCAGATCAACCAGATGTTTCCTGAGCAAAGACAGCATTCACATCATCTTGTGAGGGTGGGGAGGGGTGTGCTGGCGGGACACTCACCCTGTCTGACATCATCGGGTGGGAGAATTTCAAAGCAGAGCATCTTGGCCAGGGAAGAGCTCAGCTGGCAGCTGTGTGCTGGGATTAACTGACCCAGATAACTAGGGAGGAGGAATCAGCAACTTATGTGTGTTTATTCCCCAGGACTAATTAGACCCTCCACTCCCTGAATCTCATGGGCTACAGGAGAACCTCCCCCATGGCTCCACATGCGCAGTCAGGATCATGTTCACCATATTGCTTCTCATCCCAACTCCTTGTTTTCCCTGACTTGCAGCTGAGGCTGAAGTGGGACAAGCTCAATTGATTGCAATGCCAACAATAGTAAAAAATTATTATTATTAATAATAAATCAAATAATCCTCCTTCCTCCCCAAACACAGGGAGCTCAAATCCTAAAATATATGATTTCAAATCATCTCTTTAATTCATCACTAGCTTGTCAGATTCAGGTTGCTAAGACCAGTAAAATAAAATAATTTTTTAATATAGGGACATAGACAAGGAATTGACAGCTTCCTCTTAGAAAGACCATTACAAGTAAATGAAATAAACGAATAAATAAAGTAGAATGCACATACCATTTGCTATCACGATGATCTCGTAAAACAAAGGTTAATTTAATCTCCTTGACTCACATCCCTCCAAGGAATTTTCCTCACTCTCATAATCAAATGGAAACTACTGAGACCTAAAAAGTTCCATATGACTCAGGATCTGACCCCTGCCTACTGTCTCAGCTCCACCTCCTCATTCTCTTATTGTTTTCCGGCCTTTTCTCTGTCCCACAAACATGCACTGGTCTTTGCATTTGCTGTTCCCAGCATCTAGAATGCTCTTCCCCCAGGTCTTGTGGACACTGCACTGCCTGAAGCAAGCAGCTTTCTGATTTGGCTCCCAGTGATATAATTCCTGGGATTCATGTCCTTGGGTGATCCCTTCCTCTGTGTTTAAGCTGGAGCTGGAACTAGTGCCTTGGTTCTAAAGAACAGAAAAGAAGAGATCTGCTCTAAAGAACAGCAACTGAGATGAGGTTCTAAACGTCTGAGACTTCCTTCTTGCTCATGCTCTCTCTCTGGCACCTCTCACTTGCTCTGATGAAGCAAGTTGACATTTGTGAGCTGCTCTCTAAAGAGGCTGGTACAACAGAGAACTGAGGGTGGTCTCTTGGCTAGCAGTCATTCAGGACCTTTCATCCAACAGGTTGGGAGGACCTGAGTCCTGCCAACAACCTCCCAAGGGAGTCTGAAGCAGAGTCTTCCCTGTCCTATCAGGCCTTGCAGTGACTGCTCTCCCAAGGACACCTTGGCTGCAATCTTGCGAGAGAACCTGAGCCCATCCCTGAACCAGCTCAGCCGCATCCAGGTCCCAGAGACACTGAAACTATGAGATAAGAAGTCCTGTTTTCAGCCCATACATTCTGGCATAATTTGATATACAGTGAAAGACGACTAAGCCGCTTCCTTACTCCACTCAGGTCTCTGCTCAAATGTCTCCCTGCTTAAAGTACTCTCTCACCTCCCAAACCAACCAACCCACAAAATTCATCACACACCATGCTCTATTCCCTTACGCATCTGCATTGCTCTTTATGGAGATTATCAGTACTCACATTTATATTATATATGTGTTTATTTATCAGGTGGTTTCCCTACTCAAATGAATAAAAAATTCAGTGAACACCATGTCTGTCATTTTCCTGGTAAATAAGATGACTATATACTTGCCCTGATGGTGCTCAGGTTTATTTGACAAATACTTATTGTAGGCCTACTATACACCAGGTCCAGGGACCGTAGTTTATTTATTTCTGTTCCCTGGTATGTGGGCCTATTAATTTTAATTTGTGGCTAAGCCTCCTTTTTAAATTAAGCTGTTCTGTTTGATAATGCACCTTTCTATGCCTTTAACTGAGTATTTCATTAAGATGTCTGTATTTTGTCAAGTCTGGGGCTTGTATGTGATTAAAGTCCCAGGTTAAATGATCAAGATTTGAAAAATTCTTACTTCACTACCTTTTCTATTCCTCTCTTACAAATCTGAATTAAGTGGTTAATGCCCAATCATGCTTTCTTCTTCTTCTACCCTTGGAAGACTAAAGGTCTTAGAAACCCCTCAGAAACTCAAATCCATAATATATTATCAGATGCTTTTGCTTAGCAAATTGGATGTCTGAAGAGGTGAAGTCATCTATCACCTTCAGATTTCTGTTTGTTGAGATAGAGGATTAATGTCAAGGCAGTGCCATTCATAACAAGGCCACGTGGACTGAAATTACTGCTAGGTCATAAATGGTTTATTGTCAACTCCTGTCTTGATTTTGCATGTTTGTGCTACTGGCTGGTGTGCCGATCACTCTGTCTATAGTGTTACCTTCCCCTTAAAACCTGCAAAAACCTGGTGCTTCTTCAAGAACACATTCAATACTACATCCTCCAGTGGTAGCTTCCTAAATCCCTTCCTCCAGCTTTTACTCATGGTATTTGCACTGTATCTTGTCACATCTCAGAATAGCTTAAATCATTTACTGCTGTGCTATGTCCTAGCTCTGAAGAGGTTGAGTAGATTCTTGTATCCTGGAGGCTGCTGGGTCTCTGGATGAGTATTAAGATGATGCTTGTTTTCGGAGTCTCAAACTGTTTCATCCTCGAGTGGCTGATGCATCCAGGTGCTTTGAAGACATTTTCATTCTAACCTATGCTGCTGTGAGCTCCCACTAATGATTGGGGAGAGTCAGCAACACTCAGGGAGGATAAGGACGCATGTCAGGGAGGTACAAGGCCACATATTTCACCGCTCTCTCCTCACCCTTTAAGTTCCAGCCATGCTGAGCATGTTTAACAGTCTCGGTGCTCTGCACTGTCACTCATTCCTTTCCCTCTGCTTGACATGCTCTTCGAATCCTGTCTACCATCTGTGTCTGATAAAGCTTATTCACCCTCTTGGGGTCTCAGCTGAAAATACCACTTCCCGTAGGAGGAGTCTCCTGATTCCCCTATTATGACACTTCACTTACTACACTGTAGGGCAATTGTGTGATTACATGTGTGTTCCCTTCACTTAACTGTAAGTTTCTTATGGGAGAAGATGCTATCTTTCTTGCTTATTGTTGTATCTGTAAAGGTTAACACAGTGCCTGACATGTAACAGCTGCTCAACTTGTACCTATTAAGTGAATTAATGAATGTAGTGTTCCCTGCTGTCATGGGGGCTGAAATGTCATAGTAGGCGCAAGATAAGCACACAAACAATCAGCATGTTAATGCCTCCATTGACAATCCCCAAGGATTCTATGGAGATAGCACTGTTCCTCTCATTTTACAGAAAGGAAAATTTAGGCTTAGAAGTTCTGGCATTTCCCAACATGATTTCCCAGCTAGAAAGCGGCAGAATTGGATTTGAACTCTAGTCTTCTGATACCACATTAAGTGCTTTGTACATAATGTTGCAACGATATGCAGCAAGTGTTAACAAAACTGATACAAAATCTTTTCAGAAATGGATGAATTCATTCCTAGATAACATAACATTTCAGTGTGACTCTGAAAGACAAATCAGCTTCTTTATAAAGGATGATTGTCAATTACCAAAATATAATCAAACAATCAATCTTCACGCATTATGATAAGTTCAACTAACACATACATGTTTAATGCAAGAAGTGGAAGTTCACCCCGCTCTTCCTCTCACTATGTTCTTAAGAGATAACCATCATAAATCATATCTGTGTGTTCACACATGATAGGGTGGTTTTGTCTTATTTAATTTAAGAAGATTGACACTATAAATACTATTCTGCAGCCTCCTTTAAAAAAAAACCTTCAATACAACTTGAGCTGCCTTCTATCTGGTATCAATATATTTAAATACTGCACATTTACCTGCTTCCTTCCATTCCTTTGTAGGAATATTCCATAATTTGTTTAATCATTCTCCTATTGGGGCATTTAGGTAGTTTTCTATTTTCTCCTCAAATAAATAATTCTGCAATAATTCTCTTGTGTATACATCTCTGAGCTGTCGGCAAAGATGTTCAGTCCATCAATTTCTAAAAATACGGTTTCTTGTGTCATGGGTTACATGTAATTGAAACTGTGAATGAAACTCACAAAAATGCCCAGGATGTGAAAAAGTTCAAACTGGAGGGCAAAAGGCATTCAAGGTGATGAGAGCCACATAAATAAAGGTACGTAAAAACCTTATGAAAAGTGTAAGTCACATTCCTTTATTTTTCCCAAGGAATTTCAGCATTTTGACCCTACATGTGAGCTTGAAGGGCAAATTCCAGCTCCTGCCAAGTGACCACAAGCTATTTGTCAGTCTATCTCTTTAACTTCTTTCCTGTCCCTTCAGTGATGAAGTCCCCAGCGGTTAAACATGCTCATTAGTAATCTTATCACTCAAATCCTTGAAAACCAATGTTTGCTGCCCCTTGGTTCTTTACTTTAATGACTCCCTCATCGCACACAGACCCTTCATTGTGCTATTCACAACTTTCCAGCTGAAACCAAAGGCTTGATTCAACTGTAGTCAAAGAAAATGAATTCTGCACAATTCCACACACATACACACACTAACCCTCCACTTCCCACCAGCGACTCATACTTAACATTGAATGATCATGACATGTGATGCCTCTAAAGAATTATCCCCTGGCCTGCAGTTTTCTTAAAGGGACAAATATGCAGTCGCCTTTAATGGTGTTTATTTGGAAGCATGTGATGTTTACCCTTGGAAACTTATTATGTATTTCTCACCTTACAGTGAACAAAAGGACATTGTCACTTCACGTAGTCTGACTGCTTGCTTAAATTTAGGTCTGTACTCAAATGAGAAAAATGCTGGAGTATCAGTCATCTTGGAATCCAGGGGACTTATTCATAGAGGATGTGGTTCTCTCTTCATTTATGACTTTGCATAAAAGGAAGTGGGGACTGTGTGTTTGTGTGTGTGTGTGTGTTGCTCAGAGAACCATGGACTGCCTCTCCTGAGTAACTTATACAAGATCAATATTTATCCAAATGAGCCAAGAATTGTGCCACAACTCTCCGACAGCCAAATGCTTCATTTATAGTTTCTTCACCCATTGAAGGGAGCACGACAGATTGAGATGTTTGTGTAAAAACTGCTTAAAGTGGTTCTCACTTGATTCCTGTTGCTTTAGAAACAACACGATGCTTTGGCTGAAATGGCAGATTTCTGTCACAGATATTGTGCATGAGTAGCACATAGTAAACATTAAAAATGTATTTATTAAATAAATGACTAAAGGGAAATAAGCAAACATTTTTGTCACTGTTCCTGAAGCGAGAAAGTGTTTCCCACTGAAAGTGTTCTTTTTATACACATTAATTCAGCAACTGATAGGCCTTTTGCATTGAATGAAGACAGAGTTCTCACTTGCAATGAACTTCCAGGCAAATATGTAAATAACTAAAGACATTATAAATGAAAAGTGCTATAATTTTATTAAAAATTTTAAAACAGTATTCTGAAAATTCAGAGGAAAGATCAGTTAATTCTGCTTAGACAAGTTTTGGAAAGATTAAGAGTCAGTGGGAGTTAAACAGCCTTGTAGTGAATGGAGAATGGAATTTTAAGAAGACATAATAGCATGAACAAAAGAACCACAAAAGCCCTTCAGACTGCACAAATGGGATAGATGGGTTGCCATGAATAATTAGAGATCTTGTGTCAGTAATAATAATAATAATAATAATAATAATAATAAAGCTATACTTTTCCATTAGACTTGGATTGTACATGGCCTTATGCCCTCAACCAGTGAGCCGTTACCTTATTTTGTAAGTGAGAAGATACTGTTAGAGATTTCAGAGATAGGAGTGGATAGAGGAGATTCTTAGAGATAGGAGTGCCATAATCAGATTTCCCTTAGTGATGTATTTCTGGAGGCACCATCTATATCATCCA